CATCTCACCAAAGACGATACAGAGATGGCAAATAAGTTCATGAAAAGATGTTTGAAATAATTAGCCTTTAGAGAAATGCAAATTAAAACCACAATGAGATATCACTACACATCTCACATTATGGATAAAATAAAAAATAATGACAACATCAAATGTTGATAAGGATGCAGAGAAACTAGATCACTCACCCATTGCTGTGGAGACATAAAATGCTACAACCAGTCTGGAAAACAATATGGCAGTTTCTTATAAAATGAAATATATATGTATTACCTTACCATCCAGGAATTGCACTCTTGGGCATTTATTCCAGAAAATCTACATTTACACAAAAACCTATACATGAATATTCACAGTAGTTTTATTCATAACAGCCAAAAACTGAAACCAATACATAAGTCATTTAACAGGTGAATGGTTTAAAACCATTCTATGGAATGCAATAACTTGGATGAATCTCAAAGAAATTATGCTGAGTGTAAAAAAGCCAATTCCGGAAGGTTACATATGGTTATGATCCCATTTACGTAACATTCTTGAACTGACAAAATTACAGCAATGGAGAACAGATGTTTGCCAGGAGTTAGGGTTTGGGACAGTGAGGTAGAAGGATGTGGGTGTGCAACTTCCTGTGAATCTATAATTACTTCAAAATAAAAAGTTAAATAACTCAGAAATTACATAGGTTATAGAATTAGTTAAAAAAAGAAAGAAAGAAAAAAGGACATTTAAAGTTATTGTAATGTATTGCATATGTACAAGAAGCTAAAGGGAAAATTGAGCATGTTAGGTAGAGACATGGAATAAATTTTTTTGAATCTCTGAAATGTCAGAGATAAAAATACATACTATAGGATTAACAACATATTAGAAATTACAAAAAAAAAGATCAGTGAATTTAAGGACATAAGTAAGCTGTGGGATAAATTCAAATGGCCTAATATATATGTGTAGAGGGTCAGCGAAAAAGAGGAAGATCTTCAGTGAGATGGACTGACACAACTACAACAATGGGCTCAAATATAGCAGCGATTCTGAGGATAGCACAAGACCAAGCAGTGTTTCGTTCTGTTGTACACAGGGCCACTATGAGTTGGAACTGACTCAATGGCTCCTAACAACAACAAATATACATGTAAGGAGGCCTGGTGGCGCAGTAGTTAAGTGCTCAGCTGCTAACAAAAGGTTGGTGGTACAACCCCACCAGCTGCTCTGTGGGAGAAAGATGTGGCAGCCCTGGAAACCCTATGGGGGCAGTTCTACCCTATCATATCGGGTCGCTATGAGTTGGAATTGACTCAACAGCAACAGGAATACACATGTCAGCGGTATTTCTGAGTATGGGAAAAGGAAGAAAAAAATATCTAAAAAAAAATACCTTCAAAGTTTCCGAAATGGATTAAAACTATAAACACACAGATCCAGGAAACTAAAGGAACCACAAGCATGAAAAAAACCACAAGGCACATCATTACCAACCTGCTTAAAGCCAGTGATAAAGAGAAAAATCTAAAAAGGAGCCAGGAAAAAAAGATAACACTGCATACAGAGAAACAAAGATAAAGATGACAACAGAATTCTCACCGGAAACAATTCAAGCCAGAAGACCATGAAGTACATTCTTTAAAATACTGAAAGAAAAACCAAGAATTCTATACTCACAGAAAATACCTTTCAAAAACCAAGGTGATGGGACAACTCAGTCAACTGGCATAATATATTTCATAAGGTCTATGTTCTAAATCCTAGTTTGGTGAGCAGTGTCTGCGGTCTTAAAAGCTTGCAAGGGGCCATCTAAGATAAAACTACTGGTCACTACTCATCCAAAGTAAAATAGAAAGAAGGAAACCAAAGATTCAAAAAAGAAACTAGTCTACAGGACTAACAATCTACACGAACCCTGGCCTCATCGACCCTGAGACCAGAAGAACTAGATGGTACCCAACCACCACTACCGACCTTTCCGATCAGGGCCAAAATAGATGGATCCTGATAGAATGGGAGAAAAATATAGAACATAACTCAAATTCTTAAAAAGTCCAGACTTACTGAACCAGTTGAGACTAGAGGACTCCCCAAGACTATCTCCTTGAGATACCCATTAAACTTTGAACTATAACTACTTCCAGAAGTCACCTTTCAGCTAAATAACAGATTGGCTCATAAAAGAATATCACCCATAAGTACTGTGCTCCTTTGAATAATCATCTATACAAGGCCAAAAGGTCAACATTTACTCTAAAGTAAAGATGAGAAGGTAAGGGGGGAAGGCAGGGAAACTAGATTACTGTAAATAGAACAACTAAAACAGAAAAAATGAGAATGTTGACACGTAAAAAATGTAGCCAATGTCACTGAACAACTTGTATAGAAATTGTTCAATGGAAACCTAATTTGCTGTGTAAATTTTCAAAGAAAATACAATAGAATATTATTAATAAATGAACAAATTTTAAAAAACCCAAGGTGAAATAAAGACTTTTTAGACACACAAAACATGAAAGAATTCATCAACAGCAGACTTGTACTAGTCCTTCAGGGAGAAGGAAAATTATATCAATTGGAAAGCTGGACCTACACAAAGGAATGAAGAGCACCAGAAATGGTAACGACGTGGGCAAACAGAAAAGATTTTTTTGCTCATTACACCTACTCCTCACTTATCACCTATATCATTATTCGACATTTTGCATTTACGACAATAGTAAAAATCTACTATCCAACTATTCTGCACATTAACGACTCATGTTTGACAGTAACAAATGCTGAGGTGTGAGGTAAGAGTAACACTGGCTATGACGGTTAAGGTAGTGCATCACCTTGCCTGGGCTATGATTCTCAGTGGTTTGGCAGTTACGTATGATGTAATTTGGCAGTTATGTAATGATGTAATCTGACAGTTATATAATGATGTAATCTGGCAGTTGTGTAATGATGTAGTCATCCTCCATTTTGTGATCTGATGTGGTCATCCTCCATTTCCCATAATGTAGATTTTCACATTAACAACCTGGTCTTCAGAACCTAACCATGTCGATAAGTGAAGAATGAGTGTATTTAAATATCTGTAAAAGATAGCTGACCGACAAAGAAAAGCCCAGGCCCAGGAGGCTTCACTGCTGAATCTTACCAAACACTAAAAGAATTAATAGCAATTCTTAACAAATTCTTCCAAAAAAATAGAAAAGGAGGGAACACTTCCCAACTCATTCTATGAGGCCAGTATTACCCTAATACCAATACTAAAGACATCACAAGAAAACTAGAGACCAATATCTCTTATGAATATGGAAATAAAAGTCCTCAACAAAATATGTTTACATACCTATTTGAATGACTAAAATTAAAAACTGACAAAATCAAGTGCTTGTAAGAATACAGAACATTGGAATCTTATACATTGCTGGTTGGAATATAAAATGGCACAGCCACTTTTAAAAATAGTTCGTCAATTTCTTATAAAGTTAAACGTACACTTACCATAAGGTCCAGCCATTTCATTCCTAGATATTTACCCAAGAGAAATAAAATTATATGTTCATTTAAAAACTTATACACAAATATTCATAGCACAGCTATATTTGCAGTTGCCGAAAATTGGATGCAACCCAAATGTCCATAATCAGGTGAATGGATAAACAAATTGTAGTATATCTATACCATGAACTACTACTCCGCAATAAAAAGGAATGAACCACTGATACATGCAACAACACAGATAAATCTCAAAATATGCTGACTAAAAAGAGCAGACCTTCCTCCCAAAAAAAGGAGTATGTACTTACTTCACAATTCCATTTATATAAAATTCTAAACAATGCAGACTATTTCTAGTGACAGAAAGTAGATCAGTGGCTGCCTAGAGACCACAGAGGTCAGGGGAAAGGATTACAAACGGGGATACAGAAACTTGTGCAGGTGATGAATATATTATTATCATGATGGTGGCGATAGTTTTATGGGAGTATATGTATGTCAAAACTTATCAAATTGTATACTTTTAGTATGTGCAGTTTACTGTATGTCAATTATATCTCAATAAAGTTCTTTCAGAAAAAGATGGGGAAAGCCAAACAAATGTACTTATGTTGGCCACTCGATAACTGATAAGGAAGTACTGAAAGCATTTTTAATTTACTCTGCTGAATGTATAGACAACCCCTGGTAAAACTACACATGGAGAACAACTCAAAGCATATAAATTTGAGTTTTTGTAAACTTAAAAATACTTCCATTAACCTAATTATAATTTCAGAGGTATTCTATCTTAATTTTTTACTGATCTTCAGTTGGTAGCGCTGGAAATCCTCCCAGTTCCATTCTAGCTCTGGCAAGTACTGCAATTAATATGATCCGTAAATAAACATTTAGATGCACAAAAAAAAAAAAAGGAAACTCTAATAGGTTTCCTTAAAGCTGAAAATACCTGTGTGAACAATAACTCGAGTGGAAATCACAAAAGAGACTCCTATTACCTATATAAATCACCTTTTAAGAGAGAACTCCCCAGTTACATTTACCTTATAGGTACAGATATTTTCCCAAATAAATTTATACTATTTCAAAACTTTCTAGAAAGTTAGAAAAGCTTAAAGGTAAAAATCCTAAGTTAGATTTTTCTTTACCAATAGGTATGCCCACTGTTTTAAAGACAAACAAAAAGTATGATGTATCCACTAACAAGAAAAATTATGGAATTTGGGGTGGAATTTAGTCAATCAAAACCACTTTACACTCATGATATTTATGCTAGGTAAACAATGACAACTAACCCAAGCTACCAACATCTCTAACTTCAACTCCCGCAACAGCCTTTTTAAATTTTTTTAATTCAGCTGAACTCAGTCTTGATATACTCTGAATCTCATTTTCTTCATCTATTAAATAGGGACAATAATACTTCCAACTCCTTGGGGTTTTGTGAGGATTAAATGAGAATACAGGTACAGTTTGTTGCCTGGCACATAGAAAGTGCTCCACAAATGTTAACCTATTATTACCTGAATAAATGTTCAGCCTCCATGAGTCCAGTGCTGGAATGGCATCACACATAAGAAACAAGTCTAACCTCAAAAACAAAAACAAAAAGTTAAAAACAATTTAAATCTTTATACGAGTCCCTCAAAGAAAACAGAGATCCAATTCACAATTCACAGCAATACTTCTTAATAACTTCCTTCCCAATTCCTTTTGCTCACAGTGTTTCTTACAATCCTGCACCTGTCCTGAACCCTCTATCCATTTCCACCTTCAGTTCACAAATTTGCAAAACACTGCTGTTTGGCTCCTTCCCCTCTATTAATCCCCTCTTTTTATAAGCAGTGCTCACTCCACTTGCTAATAAATTAATCATCCAGTCTTACTCCTTGAAATTCTTCACTGTTTTTTTTACCCATTATCCTCTTACACAAGCTAAGTCTAGAAATTAGCTAGCAGATCTATAACCTTTCTTAACAGATGAGAAGTAAAGACAGGCCAGAGACAGAATTTTCTTCTTTTGGTATAATATTGCAAACACATAATTTAGTATCTCCTCACCTCAACTGCAGTATTTTCTTAATTATTATTATCATTATCAGGGCTATTAACAGGACCCTGAGGGCTGGCTGCTACTTAATCTACTTCAGGAGCCCTGAGTGCTCAATGCCACCAATGAAATTCTTAAATGTGTCCGAGCCTGTCTGTGTCATTGGAAGCCCTCAAAACACCTAAACCCTACTGTGTTCTATGCTGAAGTCAGGAGTATCCCTAACTCACCATTTTGTTTTACAACTCTGTTACATGAATATCACATTGCTAAAGTATGTCCTCCCAGTGTCTTACAAAAAGCTCTGTGAAAAAGCCTGTCTAGCTTTTTTATAGCTCTGCACTTGAGGTTTTTGGCACTAGGGATGTATGGTAGTTTAGTTAGGGTTGAAAAAGCACGGCCAGAGGCAAACAGGAATTATACACACTTGACATTTCCCCTCTCCTTTTTACCACCAACCTTCATCCTGATACACTGCATGGTAAATTTTTTCCCAGGAAATGCCTTGCTTCCCCCCATGCAAAGAAATTTCTAGTTGTCTTTCCCCACATACCCTCAAGCCACGCCCTGATATATCTGATTTTTAAGTAGGCATAGTCGGTTCACAATGACAGCCATGCCACACCAACAGGTCACTCTCCAACGGTGAGTCAGAGAATTAAGAGCAACATAATTCAAAGAACACAATAATAGTACTTATTGCGGTAATGGTTTTCCTACCTTACCTGTAATCTTACCATAATTAAAACTGGAAGTTTAATTCCTTTCTGTCATCCATATTCCATAACCCCCAGTTAGCTTGCAGTTTTTTTTTAACAAAATGCAATAAATAGCCTCTTAACTAGTCTTTCTACTTCCACTTTTGGCATCCAGCAATCCATTCTCCCCAGAGAAGCGAGAGTGATCTTTTTAGAGTGTAAATCAGATCATTTAGCTCCCCTGCTCAACTGGCTGTCCCCACCAATGGCTTCCCATCGTCCCAACCAAGGCCTATAGAGTTCTACATGAGCTGGCCCCTGACCACTCTTGAACACACCAAAACATATCCTCTCCACAAGATCTTTGTATTTGTTGTCCTCTCTGCCCAGAACACTTCTCTCCCATCAAAGAAATGCTGCTTCTGCCTATGTCACTACTCAACAAAGAGGTCTTCCCTGACACACAGTCTAAAGTATCTCCTTCCCCTAACTCTCTATCATATCACTATATCTATTTTCTTCATAGCATTTATTACAATCTGTAACTATCTTATTTATTTACTTGAAAATTATTCATCTCCCCAGACAAGAATGTAAACTCTTTAAGGGCAGCAATCTTGTATGTCTTGTTCAATCTTGTATGTCTTGTTCGTATCTGTATCTGCAATGTCAAATAGTGCCTCGCACATAAGCACAGAAATAGTTTTCTAACTTACTTTATAAAGCTAACTACTTCTTCTGAAGCAGAGTAAACTGTTAAAGTTTTTAAAACTTATCTGTATGGCCAGTAAGATGGCCAAGCTGCCAAAACTCTGTGTTTTCTTCTTTATTCTAACAATCTGCCCTGAATTCTCAGAAATCTTCCTTCCCTTCTCTGAAACTAACATTTGCGCTCAAAAAATAAGACGGCAATCGTATCTGTTCTAAGTCTGTGGGACCCAAATCCAGTCTTCTCTGTAGCAGTTGCCAGAAGTCTGCCTACCATCATTCCACTGAGGAGCACCTTACAGTCCAGGGGAACGACTTGGCTAAATTGATCCAAGCTGCAAACACCTGTGAGAAAAATCACTGCTGACAGCAGTTCTGTGAAGCATTCTAAATGCCTTAAAATAACCTCACCAGAGTGGGAAGATTCAGTTCAGCAATCTGACTTATGGAGCATTCTACAAAGCTTTACTAATGACCCTGTCACCAGCAAAACAGATACTTTGTCCTAGCCTTCTAATCAGCTGTATTTAGCAGCCAACATCCATCTTTTGCAATAAAATGCCATCTCTGAGTTCCTATTCCCATCAAATTATCACTGGTTTGGCCAATAGATAAATCAGAAACTACAGTTAACAAATCCACTTGTCTGGGACCCATAAGGACCCAAAACAATTAATTAAACTTCCTTGGAGAAGCAGAACAGCCTCTAGTCACCTGGAGACAAGTTTTAAAGATCCTAACTACTATGACACTTGGGCACATCAAAATGGTAATCTCAGAAACAGCCACACGTCACCTCCAATGGTGCACCTACACTGAAAGTGACCTTCCCTCTCCAAAACGAGTAATTTTTAAAGTCAGCCAAATTTTGAACAATGACTGAGTTTTCTCTAAAATAAGGGTTGCAACAGCTACCTTAATGAAAGGCCCAATAAACTCAGGGCAAGGGCCTCATAGTGCTGACACTGTCACCTTACCTAAGACTTCTGCTGATTCATCCTGATGAGCTGACAGGTCACTGACATCTGAGCCTTGCCCAAAATTCTTGTTTATTTCTCATATAAAAACACTGTCCCCTCAAGATGACTGCAATCCAGACACCTTCCTCTGCTATGGAGTCTTTCCCTCCCTGACTTCTCTGAGCACTTGGCAAAAAAGTCATCATGTCAGGCCCATATTAATAACTCCAGATGACTAAAAAGTTATGGAGGGGCTGGGAACATGGCCCAAAGAAGGACCAAAGAGCTAACCTTCAGCAATTACCAATTTAAAAAAAAAAAAAAAAAGATCAAAATCACCTGGGGAAGAAACTACATATCTTTTCAGCATTAACGAATGCTTGGTAATATTATGGTAGTTTGGAAAAAGTTCCAAAGTCAAGATCTGAAAATGTCAGTCCCTGGCCATACCAAGTAATCACAGAAGACATCCTTTAACCAAATAAGCTTTGTTCTAACACGAACTTCAAGAAGAAAGAGAAGCCAATTTAAAAAAAAAAAAAGAAAGAAAGAAAGTAAAAGGAATGCATGGAAGCTCCATAGACCCATCCAAACTCCATGAGGGACCAAATTACTGGGCTGAGGGCTGTGGGGATCACGGTCTTGGGGAATATCTAACTCCACTGGCATAACACAGTTGATAAAGAAACTGTTCTACATTCTACTTTGGTGAGTAGCGTCTGGGGTCTTGAAAGCTTGTGAGATACTCCACTGGTCTCACCCCGTCTGGAGCAACAGAGAATGAAGAAAACCAAAGACACAAGGGAAAGATTAGTCCAAAGGACTAATGGACCACAACTACCACAGCCTCCACCAAACTGAGTCCAGCACAAATAGATGGTGCTCAGCTACCACCACTGACTGCTCTGACAGGGATCATGATAGAGGGTCCCGGACGGAGCTGGAGAAAAATATAGAACAAAATTCTAACTCAACAAAAAACAAAACAAAAAAAAAAAACAGACTTACTGGTCTGACAAGGCTGGAGAAACCCCAAGTGTATGGCCCCCAGACACCCTTATAGCTCAATAATGAAGTCACTCCTGAGGTTCACCCTTCAGCCAAAGATTAGACAGGCCCATAAAACGAGACTAAATGGGCACACAAGCCCAGGGGCAAGGACAAGAAGGCAGGATGGAACAGGAAAGCTGGTAATGGGGAACTCAAAGTCGAGAAGGGGAGAATGTTGACATATCTTGGAGTTGGCAACCAATGTCACAAAACAATATGTGTATTAACTGTTGAATGAGAAACTAGTTTGCTCCGTAAACCTTCATCTAAAGTACAATAAAAAAAAATTTTAGATAAAAAAGTAAAAGGAATGAAAGAAAGGGAAAGAGATAAAGAGGACCAAGAACAACGACCGTAACTGCAGATTCAACATGACCACAAATTATTTGCAGCAACTCCTATCAAAAAGTAGGGTCTATAGGAATGGACAAGAGTGATGGTTGAACAACATGATGAACATAATTAATGTCACTGAACTGTGTATGTGAAGACTGTTGAAATGGCAAATGTTTAGTTACATATTTACCACAATTAAAAAAAAAAAGTGGAGTCTATTTCCCATTCCTTGAATCAGAGGAGGCCTAGTAACTTGCTTTGACCAAGAGAATGCAGCATGAATGACACAGTGTGACTTCTGAGCCCAGGCCTCAAGAGGCTTGCACCTTCCACTCTCACCCTCTTAGAACCTAGCTACCATGTGAGGAAGCCCAGTCAGCCTGTAGGAGAGGCCACAGCACCTTGGCTGACAGCTCTAGCCCACTGCTAGACTTGTGAGTGAGGCCATCGAGGTCCAAACCAGCCCCTAGCCAACCTACCAACTGACAACAAACACATGAGTGAGCCCAAGTGCTACCACATGGAGCAAAAGCAAGCCATGCTAGATAAGCCCTACCCAAATTATAAGCAAATAGTTGTTTTAAGCCACTAAGTTTTGGAATAGTTACACAGCAACAGATACCTGAAACACCCACAATCAGTTGAGACTAACTAAAAACATCAATTTGACCCACTCAAAACCAACACGTGCATTCCCAACACCTAACGAAACTGAAATCGCTAAAGGACAATATACAACACCACCATCCATTGACAAGACGTATTATTAAGGAATCCCAGAATCTGTTCC